ATTATGTTCCTTAATGAAGCCCTGTTGCTTATACATCGTTAATCGCCTGGAAAGAGATGTTGTTGTTTTGCCTATATACTGAGTTCTTTGAGGCTTACAGTCCTCAACTGGGCATTTGAAGGCATAGACGACGTTAGTCTCTTTTAAAGCGTTCTGTTTTGTGTCTGGAGAGTTCTCATGAGTAGGCTGGCCGTTTTTCTGGTTTTATAGTAAATTGTCAATTGTATCTTCTGATTTATGTCTGTAGGGATAACGTTCTATTAACAATTTCTTTCAGGACCCTTTCCTCCGTTTTATGAGCTGTGGAAAAGAAGTTTCTGTAAAATAGTCTAATAGGGGGTACAGGTGTTGTGTTAGTTGTCTCTTCAGAGGTTGCATGGCGTTTCACCTTCCTACTTATGATGTCTTCAACGAAACCATTGGAGAAGCCGTTGTTGACTAGGACCTGCCTTACCCTACAGAGTTCTTCATCGACTTGCTTCCATCCTGAGCTGTGGCTGAGAGCACGGTCGACATAAGCGTTAACGACACTCCTCTTGTACCTGTCTGGGCAGTCACTGTTGGCATTGAGGCACATTCCTATGTTTGTTTCCTTAGTGTAGACTGCAGTGTGGAAACCTCCGCTCCTTTCCAGGACTGTTACATCTAGAAAGAGCAGCTTTTCATCCTTCTCCATCTCGTAAGTGAAACGCAACACAGAATTCCGCTCAAATGCCTCCTTCAGCTCCTGCAGATGTCTGACATCAGGTACCTGTGTAAAAATGTCGTCAACATACCTGCAGTATATGGCCGGTTTCAAGTTCATGTCGACTAAGACCTTTTGCTCGATGGTACCCATGTAGAAGTTCACAAACAGGACACCTAGGGGAGAACCCATGGCGACCCCATCTACTTGCTTATACATGTGCCCATCCGGGCTCAAGAAGGGTGCCTCTTTAGTACAAGCTTGGAGTAGTTTCCTTAGAACGTTTTCTGGTATGTCAAGAGGAGTACAAGCCGGATCACGATACACTCTGTCCTCGCTATCAATCGGGATGATAGCAACCCTACCAAACCTAACCTAACCAATCTTTATAGGTTAGGTAGCCGAAAAAGTTAGGTTAGGTTAGGTAGTCGAAAAACAATTAATTCATGAAAACTTGGCTTATTAGGCAAATCGGGCCTTGCATAGTAGGCTGAGAAGTGCGTTCTGGCTACTAGGTACGACATATATATATAAATATAATATATATATATATAATATATATATATATATATATATATATATATATATATATATATATATATATATATATTATATATATATATGTAAATGGTCATAAATTAACGAGCTGGTAATAATCACAGATGGTTTGAGCAGCAGTTAATGTAATTAATTTGTATACGGTCTGTGAATGAGACACGGGAGGAAATTATACAAGCATGACTTGGAGCCAATTGAGTGATTCGTCCAGAAAAAGGAGAACAAATTGTAGTAATGAATAGCGAAATGGGCTGAACAATTCAACTGGAAATCGCACTAATGCCGAAAATTGGGATAGTGCAGTAAATCAGATATGAGGCTAAAGCAGACAGTTGGAAATTGGCCAATTGGGCTTTAAATTGATAATTAAGGTGACGTGGTAATTAAAGAAAATCTGTGGCTTTACACACACACACACACACACACACACACACACACACACACACACCACACACACACACACACACACACACACACACACACACACATTATATATATGCAACTGAAAACTCCACACCCCAGAAGTGACTCGAACCCATACTGTCAGGAGCACTATGCACCTGGTGTACAGGAGACCTTAACCACTCGACTTTCAGACCGTACAAAAGATGATGGTAGCCGAGGTTTATTTGCCCATCATCCCGACGGTACTTTGATAGTAATCTTAGGCATACATTTCTCCTGTACACCAGTTGCATAGTGCTCCTGGCAGTATGGGTTCGTGTCACTTCTGGTGTGTGGAGTTTTCAGTATATATATTTCAGTATATATATATATATATATATATATATATATATATATATATATATATATATATATATATATATATATATATATATATATATATATATATATATATATATATATATATATATATATATATATATATTAGTATATTTTGGTAGCAGTCTTTCCTGTAGACATATATTATTAAATATGACGGAAAAAGTAAGATTAATAATTCTAACACGAATTTTTTCTTAACACGAATGCCCAGACAGGTACAAGAGGAGTGTTGTTAACGCATATGTCGACCGTGCTCTCAGCCACAGCTCAGAATGGAAGCAAGTCGACGAAGAACTCTGTAGGGTAAGGCAGGTCCTAGTCAACAACGGCTTCTCCAATGGTTTCGTGGAAGACATCATAAGAAGGAAAGTGAAACGCCATGCAACCTCTGAAGAGACAACTAACACAACACCTATACCCCCTATTAGACTATTTTACAGGAACTTCTTTCCCACAGCTCATAAAACGGAGGAAAGGGTCCTGAAAGATATTGTTAATAGAAACGTTATCCCTACAGACAAAAATCAGAAGATACAACTGACAATTTACTATAAAACCAGAAAAACGGCCAGCCTACTCATGAGAAACTCTCCAGACACAAAACAGAACGCTTTAAAAGAGACTAACGTCGTCTATGCCTTCAAATGCCCTCTTGGGGACTGTAAGCTCCAAAAAACCCAGTATATAGGCAAGACAACAACATCTCTTTCTAGGCGTTTAACGATGCATAAGCAACAGGGCTCCATTAAGGAACATATAATCTCTTCCCACAACCAAACCATCGTCAAAGAAATCCTAGTAAACAACACAGAAATCATCGATAGATACAGCGATAGCAGGTGGCTTGACGTTTGCGAGGCACTACACATCAAGAAGTCAACACCAGCAATCAACAGTCAATTAATGCACAACTATATTCTACCCACCTCAAGACTCCGCTCCAATATAGAAGCATCAAGAAATATGGACCAAAAGGCTTTCTACAATCACTTCTATTCAATACCCATTGTTTCGTGTTCTGTCTTGTGTTGATGAAATTAATACCCTATTAATGCCACCTCTTGTTCTGTCTTGTGTTGATGAAATTAATACCCTATTAATGCCACCTCACCCCATCCACCTCTCTCAAATGTAGTTATAAAAACGGAGATGCGTAAGTTCTATTCAGTTGTGTATTTGTGAACTAAAGTCTTTGAAAATGTAATAAGTTTTACAAAACGCGCTCGTGTCGCGTCAGACTAGAAATAAAAATGAATTTTGGAGAATTGATTTTTGATTTACCTCCAACAGTGAAAAGAAATGTACGAAAGATTGAAAAAATTCGTGTTAGAATTATTAATCTTACTTTTTCCGTCATATTTAATAATATATATATATATAATAAATATATATATATATATATTATATATATATATATTGAGGGGGATACCCGGCTTTTCTGGAGTCTTGCCATCTATCTATCCACTTACCTATTTATCTTTCAATCTTTCTACTCATCCAATAACTGCGTCTATCTATCCATCATCATATCTATTCACCTCAGTGTCTCTCCATCTATTTATTCATCTATCTATCCATTTTTACATTTATATCTCCTCATCTATTCATCCATCTGTGTATCCATCTATCTATCCATCTATTCATCTATCTATCCGCCTTTCTATTCATCTAACTTCAGATCACAAAAGTGTCACAATAGCGTGACACATCCATGAGACGATAATTTTGGAACAATGTGGTGACTTGAACTGGTGTTCTGGTGGTTCCCAGACACGCTGTCACGCTAATATATCACGCCATAGAGATTTCCTTGTGATGTCCCGTGACCGCGGGCCATAGTGTAGGCGGGCCAACCATAAAAATCCTGGTTGGACACCAGTTCGGGCCTCCAGATCCTCCCAGTAAATTTAGTTGAGCTCCGGGTTGGTTGACTTTTGAACATGTGTGTGTAAAATGAATGGCGATTATATGTCAAATTGATGTAGGATTTTGTTGAAAATCACGAATGTTTCATCTTGTCGTTCAGCGTCTCGTTTAGTGAGTTCAGAGTGCCCTGTACAGACATGCCTTTGAGAGGGGTTAACATATGTTGAAGCTATGGTGAGTAGACTCCTGTAAGGATACGCAGTTTTCAGCTAAATTCCCATTTTTTTTTTTTTTACTTTTTAATTTTGTCATATTTTTTATGATAAAATCTTAGCAATCGTTGACTCTAATGCAAGAATTATCTACACCTTCTCTGTCTCACTCTCACTTCATCTCTCTCTTTCCCCTCTCTTTCTTCCTCTCCTACCCCCTCTTTCCCCCTCGACACTTCTTTTTCCCAACCCCTCTCTCTCTCTCTCTCTCTCTCTCTCTCTCTCTCTCTCTCTCTCTCTCTCTCTCTCTCTCTCTCTCTCTCTCTCTCTCTCTCTCTCTCTCTCTCTCTCTCTCACAACAAACAATATTCACACCCAACAAGCACACAACCTAACGACGGCATAATATGTAATACTGTTACTTTGAAGCAACATTGTAAAAACGTCGTAATTATGTTGTGTGTGATGAACAGATGAAAAGCTGTCGGTCAACTTTCCGGAAAATAAAACCACTATTTCAAACTTCTTAGTTGTTGCCGAAACGGATCATCCTGAAAAGTTTGATAAGACTAGCCTTATGCATCTGATATCCACCTTTGATAAGAAATTATAAGGAAAATAGAAACAAGTATTAATTTCTCTCTTATAGACAGTTCTTAGTGTGAGTGACGCACTCACCGCGAGTGACGCACTCACCGCGAGTGACGCACTCACTGCGAGTGACGCACTCACTGCGAGTGACGCACTCACTGCGAGTGACGCACTCATCGATGTCCCTAGATAATGGCAATTTGTAACGTAACAAGGACTGTGGAATAATAGAACTGCTCCAAAGTCTGCATAAACTTAGCATAACTAGCCATCCCAGCCAGCAACACCAGGCCAGTACCACAATGTTGACCCAGTACAACCTAGGACACACTCCCCGCTCCATGACCCAGTACACCCCAGGCCACACTCCCCGCTCCAAGACCCAGTACACCCCAGGACACACTCCACGCTCCATGACCCAGTACACCCCAGGCCACACTCCACGCTCCATGACCCAGTACACCCCAGTACACACTCCACGCTCCAAGACCCAGTACACCCCAGTACACACTCCACGCTCCATGACCCAGTACACCCCAGGACACACTCCCGCCAAGACCCAGTACACCCCACACACTCCACGCTCCATGACCCAGTACACCCCAGGCCACACTCCACGCTCCAAGACCCAGTACACCCCAAGACACACTCCACGCTCCAAGACCCAGTACACCCCAGGACACACTCCCCGCTCCAAGACCCAGTACACCCCAAGACACACTCCCCGCTCCAAGACCCAGTACACCCCAAGACACACTCCCCGCTCCAAGACCCAGTACACCCCAGGACACACTCCCCGCTCCAAGACCCAGTACACCCCAGGACACACTCCCCGCTCCAAGACCCAGTACACCCCAGGACACACTCCACGCTCCAAGACCCAGTACACCCCAGGACACACTCCACGCTCCAAGACCCAGTACACCCCAAGACACACTCCACGCTCCATGACCCAGTACACGCCAGGAAGGACTACTGGTCTGAGAGATCTCACACTCGAAATTTCAACTCTAGAAATCAGAGATGAAACACCGGCAGGAACCTGAAGTAAAGATGCAAGGTGACATGAATAGCCAAATAACCAAAGATAATTAGAGGCCATAGAGACTAGTAAACAAATGGAAGAAGTAACATAGTAGACGGAATTTGAAGCCAAATTGAAGGCAGAGGAAACTAAACAGAAGGAATTTGAAGCCAAATTGAAGGCAGAGGAAACTAAACAGAAGGAATTTGAAGCCAAATTGAAGGCAGAGGAAATGAAACATTTAGAAATTCAGCAGCAGACGGCTGCAGACCAAATAAGGTGAGGTGAGAGCAGAACAGGTGCAGGATTAGGAGGCAGTGAGTGCCTGCAGGTAGCCCAGGTGGTGTTAATTATCAAAAAGGGGTCGAATTACCACACTTTAACGAGAAAGACCCGGAGTTACTCTTTGCACTTCTCGAAGTTAACCACGAGTTAACTGGGGGTACTGGGGTGGTGTGGTTGAGGGACCTGGGGGTGCTGGGGGGGGGGGTGGTTGAGGGACCTGGGGGTGCTGTGGGGGTGGTTGAGGGACCTGGGGGTGCTGGGGGGGTGGTTGAGGGTCCTGGGGGTGCTGGGGTGGTGTGGTTGAGGGACCTGGGGGTGCTGCGGTGGTGTGGTTGAGGGATCTGGGGGGTGGTGCTGGGGGTGCTGGTTGAGGGACCTGGGGGTGCTGGGGGGTTGGTTGAGGGACCTGGGGGTGGGGGGTGGTTGAGGGACCTGGGGGTGTTGGGGTGGTGTGGTTGAGGGACCTGGGGAGTGCTGGGGGGTGGGGGTGGTTGAGGGATCTGGGGTGGGGGGTTGGTTGAGGGACCTGGGGGTGCTGGGTTATTGGGGTGGTGTGGTTGAGGGACCTGGGGGGTGCTGGGGTGGGGTGGTTGAGGGATCTGGGGTGGTTGGTTGAGGGACCTGGGGGTGGGGTGGTGGTTGAGGGACCTAGCTGGGGGTGCTGTGGTGGTGGTTGAGGGACCTAGCTGGGGGTGCTGGGGTGGTGTGGTTGAGGGACCTGGCGGTGCTGGGGTGGTGTGGTTGATGGACCTGGGGGTGTTGGGGTGGGGGTGGTTGAGGGAGCTGGGGGTGCTGGGGTGGGGGTGGTTGAGGGACCTGGGGGTGCTAGGGTGGTGTGGGTGGACCTGGGGGTGCTGGGGTGGGGGTTGAGGGAGCTGGGGGTGCTGGGGTGGGTGGTTGATCGAGGGACCTAGGGGTGCTGGGGTGGTGTGGTTGAGGGACCTGGGAGTGCTGGGGTGGGGTGGTTGAGGGACCTGGGGGTGCTGGGGTGGGTGGTTGAGGGAGTGGGGGTGCTGGGGTGGTGTGGTTGAGAGACCTGGGGGTGCTGGGGTGGGTGGTTGAGGGAGCTGGGGGTGCTGGGGTGGGGTGGTTGAGGGACCTGAGGGTGCTGAGGGGGTGGTTGAGGGACCTGGGGGTGCTGGGGGGGGGGTAGTTGAGGGACCTGGGGGTGCTGCGGGGTGGTTGAGGGAGGGACCTGGGGTGGGTGTTGAGGGACCTGGCGGTGGGGTGGTGTGGTTGAGGGACCTGGGGGTGCTGGGGTGGTGGTTGAGGGACCTGGGGGTTGATGTGGGGTGTGGTGGTGTGGTTGGGACCTGGGGGTGCTGGGGTGGGGTGATTGAGGGACCTGGGGGTGCTGGGGGGGGGTTGATCGAGGGACCTGGGGGTGCTGGGGTGGTGTGGTTGAGGGACCTGGGGGTGCTGGGGTGGGGTGGTTGAGGGACCTGGGGGTGCTGGGGTGGGTGGTTGAGGGACCTGGGGTGGTGTGGTTGAGGGACCTGGGGGTGCTGGGGTGGGTGGTTGAGGGAGCTGGGGGTGCTGGGGGGAGTGGTTGAGGGACCTGGGGGTGCTGGGGGTGAAGGACCTGGGGGTGCTGGGGTGGGTGGTTGAGGGACTTGGGGGTGCTGGGGTGGGGTGGTTGAGGGACCTGGGGGTGCTGGGGTGGGGTGGTTGAGGGACCTGGGGTGCTGGGGAGGTGTGGTTGAGGGACCTGGGGGTGCTGGGGTGGGTGGTTGAGGGACCTGGGGGTGCTGGGGTGGGGTGGTTGAGGGAACTGGGGGTGCTGGGGTGGGTGGTTGAGGGACCTGGGGGTGCTGAGGTGGTGTGGTTGAGGGTGGGGTGAGGGGGTGGGGGTGCTGCGGGGTGGTGTGATTGAGGGACCTGGGGGTGCTGGTGGGGGTGCTGGGGTGGGTGGTTGAGGGACTTGGGGGTGCTGGGGTGGGGGTGGTTGAGGGACCTGGGGGTGCTGGGGTGGGGTGGTTGAGGGACCTGGGGGTGCTGGGGTGGTGTGGTTGAGGGACCTGGGGGTGCTGGGGTGGGTGGTTGAGGGACCTGGGGGTGCTGGGGTGGGTGGTTCGAGGGACCTGGGGGTTCTGGGGTGGGGTGGTTGAGGGACCTGGGGGTGCTGGGGTGGGGTGGTTGAGGGACCTGGGGGTGCTGGGGTGGGGTGGTTGAGGGAGTGGGTGTGCTGGGGTGGGGTGGTTGAGGGACCTGGGGTGCTGGGGTGGGTGGTTGAGGGAGCTGGGGGTGCTGGGGTGGAGTGGTTGAGGGACCTGGGGGTGCTGGGGTGGGTGGTTGAAGGACCTGGGGGTGCTGGGGTGGGTGGTTGAGGGGACTGGGGGTGCTGGGGTGGGGTGGTTGAGGGACCTGGGGGTGCTGGGGTGGGGTGGTTGAGGGACCTGGGGGTGCTGGGGTGGGGTGGTTGAGGGACCTGGGGGTGCAGGGGTGGGGTGGTTGAGGGACCTGGGGGTGCTGGGGTGGGGTGGTTGAGCGACCTGGGGGTGCTGGGGTGGGGTGGTTGAGGGATCTGGGGGTGCTGGGGTGGGGTGGTTGAGGGACCTGGGGGTGCTGGGGTGGTGTGGTTGAGCGACCTGGGGGTGCTGGGGTGGGGTGGTTGAGGGACCTGGGGGGTACTGGGGTCGGCTCTTGTCCTAGCCTGGAGGCCCAATACTCTTGTATTCTCTTCACAGCTTTTGTGATGAGGAACTGAGTTATGTCCTCCCCAGAGTCACGACCACCGCCCGCAGCTCAACCCGTCATCTTAAAAATAACGTCGCTTTTTGCTCGTATGCGCACAATGGCCAAAAGTGGACGTAATTTGAAATGAAGTCGGATCACATAATTGACGTACTGTCCCGTTTTCTGTTTGAGTCGTCTGGCTTGCTCTGAAAGGTAAGCCGGACGACCATTCTTGAACCCAGATGGGCACATGTACAAGCAAGTAGGTGAGGTCGCCATGGGTTCTCCCCTAGGTGTCCTGTTTGCGAACTTCCACATGGGTACCATCGAGCAGAGGGTCTTAGTTGACATGGGCTTGAAACCCGCCATATACTGCAGGTATGTTGACGACAGTTTTACGCAGGTACTTGATGCCAGATGTCTGCAGCAGCTGAAGGAGGCATTTGAGCGGAATTCTGTGTTGAGCTTCACTTACGAGATGGAGAATAATGGGAAGCTGCCCTTTCTAGATGTACCAGTCACGGAAAAGAGCGGAGGCTTCCACACTGCAGTCTACACTAAGGAAACCAACATAGGAATGTACCTCAATGCCAAGAGTGACTGCCAGACAGGTACAAGAGGAGTGTTGTTAACGCTTATGTCGACCGTGCTCTCAGCCACAGCTCAGATTGGAAGCAAGTCGATGAAGAACTCTGTAGGGTAAGGCGACAGCCTAGTCAGCAACGGCTTCTCTAACGGTTTCGTTAAAGACATCATAAATAGAGAGGTGAAATGCCATGCAACTTCTGAAAAGCCAACCAACACAACACTTGTACCCCATATTAGACTATTTTACAGGAACTTCCTTTCGACGGCTCATAAAATAGAGGAAAGGGTCCTGAAACATATTGTCGATAGGAACGTTATCCCTACAAAAAAAATCAGGAAATACAGTTGACAATTTATTATAATACCAAAAAAACTGCCAATCTACTCATGAAAAACTCTCCAGATACCAAGTAGAACGCCTTAAAGGAGACCAACGTCGTCTATGCCTTTAAATGCCCACTTGGGGACTGTAAGCCCCAAAGAACTCAGTATATAGGCAAGACAACAATATCTCTTTCCAGGCGTTTAACGATGCATAAGCAACAGGGCTCCATCAAGGAACATATAATCTCTTCTCACAACCAGACCATCACCAGAGAAATTTTAACAAACAACACAGAAATCATCGATAGATGCAGCGATAGCAGGCGGATCGACATCTGTGAGGCACTACATATGAAAAAGCCAACACCAGCAATCAACAGGCAATTAATGCATAACTATATTCTACCCACTTCAAGACCCCGAACCAATATGGAAGCAACAAGAGGAAGTATGGGCCAATAGGTCTTCTGAAGTTCTCATATCCAATTTATACCCATTGTTTTGTTTTCTGTCATGTGTTTGTCATAAGTTTGTTCTCCTCACCCAAAACTTTGTACCATATCACCTCACCCAAAATGAGTATAAGTTCGATAAATCTGTGTGTAAATTAAGTCTCTGAAAATGTAATAAGCATTACGAAACGTGTTCAGGCGTCAGACAATTAAAAAATGAATTTTGGAGAATTAATATTTGCTTCAGACAATTAAAAAGGGAATGTTGGAGAATTTATATTATTATTACCACCGACAGTGAACAAAAACTTAAGAAATATTGAGAAAATTCGTGTTAGAATTATTAATCTAACCTTTTCGGTCATATTCAACAACATATGTTTACAAGAAAGACTGCTACCAAAATATACTACCTATATATATATATATATATATATATATATATATATATATATATATATATATATATATATATATATATATATATAGGGGAGTGTAGTGTATATAGTGTAGTATACTATATAGTGTAGGGGGAGTGTCCCGGGCACCGCAGGGCATCCCTTCCAGCATTGTTTATATTTTCCATTATAAATAATAATAATATAGGCAATATATCGACAGCAAATAATGAATTTATCTCAAATTATCTTGGTCAATTCAGGCTCAAATTCTAACCCCCCAGACTGAAAAAAAAGAT